AACAGTACACATATTGCCCTATGACAATGGTTGACAACCCCATGACATGTCAACACTGTCCCTTCTCAACCTTGGGTTCCCTATTACCAGCTTTCATGTCCCCTCCTGCCTTCTAGTCTTTGTCCCTGGACTGCTGTGCCTCATTAGTCCTGTTTTGTTTTATGAGGCTGTCCAATCCCCGGCTGAAAGGTGAATTTCAGGAGGGGCTTCACTACTGGGCTAAAACAGTATCTGGGGGCCATACTCTCAGGGTTTCTCCAGTCTGTCAGGCCAGTAAATCTGGTCTTTTTTTGTGGTTAGAATTCTGTTCTACATCCTTTTCCACCTCTGTCCAGGGCCCTCTATTGTGATCCCGGTCAGAGCAGTCAGTGGTGGTAGACAGGCACCATCTAGCTGCACCGGACTCAGTCTGGTGGAGGCCGTGGTAGTTGTCCATTAGTCCTTTGCACTAATCTTTTCCTTGTGTCTTATTCTCTTTATTCTCCCTTGCTCCCGAAGGGGTGAGACCAGTGGAATATCTTAGATGGCTGCTCACAGGCTTTTATGACCCCAGATGCTACTCACCACGGTAGAACATTGTCTTTATAAACTGTGTTATGCCAATTGAGCTAGATGTTCCCCGAGACCATGGTCCCCACATCCCTCCGTCCAGCAATTCAGCCCCTCAGGGAGTTTGGAAGTGTCTATGGAGCTTCCATGACCTCTCCTTGTACAGGCTGTGGTGGCTTCCCCAGTAATGTGTACTGTCTTAGCTTTCACCAAAGTTACCACTTATCTATTTAGTGCTCCCCCCCACTCCTCCCATCTCTCGTAACCAACAAAGATCGTTTCTTTTTGTGTGTAAACATTTACATGAGTTATACAGTAGAGGTCTCATACAATATTTGCCCTTTTGTGATTGACTTATTTCACTCAGCATAATGTCCTCCAGTTGTGTTCTTCTTACTCTCCTGTGCTGAGTTCCTTTTGTTTGTGGAATTTTTTTTTCATTTCTTTTGTTTTTGTAGGTTTTGTTTTTACTGAGACTTTATGTTTTTCTTCTTTATTTTGAGGAGTAGGTTTGTTAACTTTCTTTCTGGTTACCATGAAATTTACCCTTATCTTCCTAGATTTGAACCAGTCTATTATTACTTGGTATCACTTGACTTCCTTTCCATTAGAGGGTTCTATATCTACACCGTTTATTCCCTTTTATTGTTCTGATGCTGTTGTCATTTACAGATTAACATCTCTGGTTCCCTTTTGTAATTCTTTTGGTTTTGCATAGCCCTTAAGAGTTCATTACCTAGGCTGGTATCTGGCTAGTACAACCCGGTGTCCTATATTCAGCCTGTGGTCTGATATTGTTTGTTCTCAGATCGAAGGACTTCCTTTAATAAGTCTCGTAAGTTTGGTTTGGTTTTTACATAGTCCCTTAATTTCTGTTTATCTGGAAATGACCTAATTTCACCATCATATTTGACCGAGAGTTTTGCAGGATATAT